GCAGGTACTGACTCCCAGCAATACTTGCACACTAGCAACTAGCTGCAGGTAAGAACACATAAACCACACTCTTCCAGACAGTTCCAGCCCTAAAAATAAAACAAAAAACAACAAAAAAGTGACCCTCTCAGCTCTTGAGATAGCTAAAACAGTCCTTTCACCTCCAGTCTTAGACTCTGCAGGTTTAGTTCTGCTCTGTGCTTGCCGTGCTGCCTTGTGCACGCAGGCCCTTCGGACCATCACTTACTAACCCCCCCCCCCCCCCCCTCTCCAACAACCCCCCCCCCCATTGTGTTTCTCCTCCTGCATTCTCCATATACTCAAGGATCCTTTCTGTAATACCCATCACTATATACCAAATCTGTATTTTCTCAAAGTCATTTTCATAACAGAAACGAACAAACTAAACATATGTGGGAGCATGGAAGTTTTAGAAGTCCATGGAACTGGAAGAGTCACTCACTGCTCACATCGCTACCGAGAGGCATGCTACAAAACCCATGGACACTTCCTCACCCACGCAAACACTTACATGCACGATTACTACTGAAGTAACTTCCTACTGAAGTCAGCTCTTTACGTGCACACTTTAGTGCTGCTGTACTGAAGTCCGTTCCGATTCACATAAGCACTAGCACTCCTGAACCTAGTATTAGGCAGACAAGAAATCTGGTAATGATGATAATTTACTCATCAGCTTTTGTCTGAAAGTCTTGAGTATTATTTCTATTATAACAACATATATAGATGTGAAAACTATCATGTGAAACAGGACTTCAGCTGAAGCAGGGGAGTAAGTTACTACGAGAGGAAGGAGACCGAGATTCTCTTTCCGGCTCTCAGCCTCCTGCTCAAAACTATGATGATGGTATACGGAGTCTCCATTTCACTACATTAGGTTATGAGTAACTTCTAATTTCTGTTACAGTTTGCTTCATAATGTTTTACTGAAATAAAAAGAGACAAAAACAAGTACAGCCTTCATAGCAGCCTTACAGAAAAACATCTGAATTATCTTAAAAACAACTCAATATGTAATGAGTAATTGATCTATTTAATAGACGTATTTTCCAAATGCAGAAGTCTATATTTTTAGTATACTACCTATCATCAGATTCCGCATTATCAGCTACTCTCAGCAACAAGTAAAAGAATGACTGAACTTAAAAATAATAATAATAATATTATCCAACTGGAGAGTTGGGCGGAGGGGAACCTCCTGAAGTTCCACAAAGGCAAGCGCAGGGTCCTGCACCGAGGGAGGAATAACCCCAGGCACCAACACAGGCTGGGGGTTGACCTGCTGGAAAGCAGCTCTGCGGAGAAGGACTCGGGAGTGCTGGCGGACAACAAGTTGACCATGAGCCAGCAACGTGCCTTTGTAACCACGAAGGCCAACGATAATCCTGGCTTGCATTAGGAAGAGCGCTGCCAGCGGGTCGAGGGAGGTGATCCTCCCCCTCTACTCAGCCCTGGGGAGGTCACCCCCAGAGTACTCTGTCCAGTTCTGGGCTCCCCAGTACAAGGGAGACGTGGAGCTACTGCAGCGAGTCCGGCCAACGGCTACTAACATGATTAAAGGACTGCAGCACCTCTCCTGTGAGGAAAGGCTGAGACAGTTGGGACTGTTCAGCCTGGAGAACACAAGACTGAGGGGGCGTCTGATCAGTGTGTGTAAGTATCTGAAGGGAGGGCGTACCGAGGATGGGGCCAGATTCTTCTCCGTGGTGCCCAGCGATAGGACGAGAGGCAATGGGCACAAACCAAAACACAGGCAGTTCTGTCTGAACACGAGGAAAAACTTCTTTACTCTGAGGGTGCCTGAGCACCGGAACAAGTTGCCCTAGAGAGGTGGTGGAGTCTCCTTCCCTGGAGATATTCAAAACCCGCCTGGATGTGATCCTCGGAAATATGTTCTAGCGGACCCTGCTTGAGCAGGGGGGTTGGACGAGATGATCTCTAGAGGTCCCTTCCAACCTCAACCATTCTGAGATTCTGTAATAGACAGACAGACGATGGCGCATCTATCCTTTCACATGGATCATAGTTTATCAAGCCCTTATTTGTACTGCTGAACTGATCTGCTGCATAATCATTTGTTTTTAGCCATAGCTCTGAAGCTCATCTCTGACAAATGGCTTCAAAAATTCAGAGGAGAAAAAAAAACACACACACACACACACACACCCCCATCGCTTCAAGGTTTGAAAACACAAAAGGGTGACTCGTTTTTCCATGTGGCTCCCTTCTCAAGGGGGTCCAAACATATTCGTTCTAGAATAGTAGCTGTATACTTTCAAAGAAACAAATGCTGGTTGGACTGAGTACTGCAAGAGGCATATGCAAGGAAAAAAACTTTTAAATGCCTAAAGATAAAAGGGAATCACCCCTTAAAAAACAAAACAAACAACAAAAACAAAACAAGGCAGGCACATGAAAAAAAAGGAACAAAGCAAAAGCCACACAGGCAGACCAGTCTCATTGCTAGCACAGGGAAGAGGCAGACAGCTCCAACAACTGCCC